TGTCCCTCTCCATGTTCCTCCCTCTGCTTCTTCCAGCCCCTCCTGGAACACAAGCACCAAGCAAGGCACGGGTGAGAACAACACAAACACAACTTTCTGCTGCCTTCACGTGTCTTCCCCGAGGAAAGGGATGAGGAAGAGCAGCCCACCCATGACCTGAGCCAGACATGTTTAATGCAGGAGCAGAAAGTGCTCAAATAGTGGCAATTTCAGACGTCAGAAGGAAGAAAAGTACTGAAAAAGGAGTATAAACAGATGAAAATGATGCCTTGTAAATGCAGAATTGAGGGCACCTACTTTGGGCTGTAGTGACTCATACAAAGGATTGTAGGAGAGCAGCAATCAGCCCCAAAGTATTTAATTTCTCAAGTGAAGGTTACTTTTGAAACCAGAATTTTTATTTCCTCCCAGGCAATTATCAAACTCAGATTTCACTGCAATACTTTTTTGAACACTTCTGAAAGATGATAAATAGGCTCCACTATCAAATTAACCATGATTTTGCAGAGAGAATGAAGTTACAAACATTTATTAGATTTAAATAAAATAACAATAAAGCCCACCTGATTTTGTTATGAGAACTATTTGGAAGAGCAATCAGATTTAAGGCAAATGTCAACTTAAACAGAAAAGAAACCCCTGAGGATGAAAATGACTCAGAATGATGCAGAGAGCACAAGTTTGGGAATGATCTTGTGCATGAAGGGAAAATCATGACCTTCTCCTGGCTGACTGTCACGTAGGAATTAATAGGAACTATTGGCAAATTCATAATAGTAGGGAAAAAGGCCAACAGCACACAGGTGAGAGACATCAGGAGATCTCATTGCTGCCTTTATTAACTGGGCATGAAACAGTACAAATGATTATGATGAATAAAATGAATTTTTAAAAAAGATGAGTGCCTTTTCCTTTCAGCTTCACCATCTTTAGCAGATAGGGCTGGATTGCTTGTGTGGTTAGGGAGAGAGAGAGGAGGAGATTGTTAAATTGTGTTCAAAGAAATCCACATGCACCTGAAGTTAAGCCGAGTTTTCTCCTAGTCAACTCGAAGGCTGATGAGCAAAATGTGTTTGAGTTGTGGCTGGGTGGGCAGGAGTCAAATTCTGCCCTTATTTACATTTGGGCAGCTCCAGATTGGCTCTGAGCTGGCTTCACCCTTGTGCACCACTCGATTCAGGAAGAACTTGGTAGTTTTGGGGTTGATTTTACTCAAATCATCCTTTCATTCAGGCAGGGCAGGGTGTGGTGCTTGGAGCTGCTGTAGGGTTCCATCATTCCCACCACCTGCAAATCTCCACCACCTGCAGCAGGACCAGGGTGTTGTGTTTGCAGAAGCTCCCAAATCCTCTGAGCCCTCAAATGCCAGAGGAGCAGTTGGGGGTGACAGTGGATTCCCGTGGCATGGAGCAGGTGGATGCTGCCCTGAACTGCTCCTGAGTTTGTCCCCTCTTGCTCTGAGGTACGTGGGGTGTGTGCCTGGCTGGGTGGGAGCTGCCTGCAGAGCTGGCAGGGGAGGGGAGCTGGGCTTGGCAGTGTCAGTGGAATTGCAGCTTTGCTTTTGGCTTTTGTCACATGTGCTTGTCTGGATTGTGGTACAGGGCAAGGGCCTCACTTGCCCTGCAGCCTGAAGTCCCTGAGTTTGGTCTGGAAATGGTGGCACTGTGTCACTTTTCTACAAAGCTGCTTGTGAGTCAGACCAGGGCTTAGCTGGGTTTGCCTTCCCTGCTCTCACACCCTGAGATTGCAGGAGATGCTCTTGTGTTTCCTCAGCTCTTTTCTGGCTCCATGTCCTTTACCTGTAGTAGGAGCTCACATCCTCATCTTCTCTGCAACTGGAGCATCTTGAGTTCACACTGCAAGATTTTGGATTAGGAAAAAGCAAGGAGGTCACCTTGGGGCAAGGGTCAGACACAGGACACAGCACTGGTCCCTGGCTGCTGAGAGAACCATAACTAAGCAGGGTAGAAAGCAACAGAACCTCCCTGTTTACAGCACCTTGTTTTCCCCATAAGCCTGGGGAGAGGACAGGAAAAGCAACAGTTTTGGGCTTTCCATTCTGACAGTTTTGTTTGGTGCTCGGATGAAGCCATGGAATACCTTGGCTAGAAGCAATTCTGCTGATTGCAATGACTTTGTGTGTGCTGGCATGCCCAGCAGAGCAGCTCTTGCTGTGGCTGTTCCAAGGGTGCTGGTCCTGGTTAAGGCTGTGCCAGGAGGGGAGGAAGGTGGCCCTCGAGCTGGGTAAAAGCCTGGAAGGGACTTAAGAGCCAGGACTGTGTTTGGTCCTGGCAAACCCACTGCACTCTCTGGATCCAGAGCCTGGAGCTGGCAGAACCCAACCAGTCTGTTGGACTTTGTACCCTGGAGAAATCCACGGAGCAGAACTGGTGCAATACTCCAGGGGTTTCCCTGCTGGGACTGGCGCTTCTGAATTGTTCCATTTTTTTGCTTCATATAATTTCAACCCAGCACAGCCTGTCCTACCCCTGGGGCCTTGCCAGGATTGTGCCTGCCTGGCATCATCCTCTGGAAACACTTCCAGCCTGCTCAGGGGCTGCTGTAGGTGCAGGGTCTGAGCTGGTGGGTTCTGCTGTGGGACACCAGCTCCCATCTCAGTCCCTGCCCACAGCTGGAGGTGAGGTTGGTCCTTCAGCAGGCTTTGAGGCTGCTCAGATCCTCCCACACACGATGCTGTGGCAAGTGCCGTGCTCTCTGCTTAGAGCCTGTGGTGTCTTCTCTAAACTGTTTTACCTTGAGGCTTGACTCTGCTGTGAGATCTCCCTGGAAGCAACAGCTCCAGCCCTCACATCCCCTCTTCTCTCTTTCCCAGCACAGCCATTCCCCCTTGCCAGGGCAGAGGTTTCCTCAGGACTCTGTCCTGCTCTCTCCTGCCATCCTTGTAGCACAAACTGCACCCAAGCACTGTGTTATGGTGCTGGCTCAGACCCGCTGGTACAGGGGAGTTTCTGGCTCCTTCCAGATGTGAAATGACAAATTTAAATATTGCAATTACAAACGTGTAGCAAAACCTTGTACTTCATTAATGTAAGAGAAGGAATATGCTATGGCTACAAGGACAATTAAATATTAGAGAATGTCTTTGATTCACATTCCTGCTGTGTAAATGGGAGGAAGGTTGCTGTATGCTCCTTGCCTTTGGGCTCACAAAATGAAAAGCACACCCACTGCAAGTTGTCCTTTGATAGATTTTTAATATGATTTTAAAGAGTTTTGTTTGGCCTCATTCTTATTCAATGAGATTAATTTAAAGCACTTATCCCCTGGGTTTAAGTCAATCCATGTAGGATTTGGGACTGGGGTTGTTGCCCAGGGAGGGGGTTGTTTGCAGGCCTCTCTGAAAGACTCCTTTCCCACTTCATTAACCCCGAGCTGGGAGCTACTCCCCCCTTCCTCCTCCTCCTCCTCGCCCAGCCGAGGCCCGGGGATTTACCAAACTCCCCCATTCACATGCAAAGAACCAGCCCCATCCACAAAGGCCGGGGGCTCTCGCCCCCAGGCGTGGCTGTGCATTTGGCCGAGCCGACAATCGCCCTCCCCGCGGGGCTCGGGGCAAAGCTCCGGGGACGGAGCCGGCCCGGGGGCACCGGGCTGGGACCCGGCCCGGGGAGCCGGGGAGGGGGATTTGGGTGCCGGGGGGGCTCCGCAGACAGCCGGGCCCGCCGGGGGGAGCGGCCGGGGCCGGCGGGACCCGCAGCCCATCTGTCGGCTCCCCGAGCCCGAGAGCCGCTGCCCGGCTGTCCCGGGCACCAGCTGCCGGGCCCGCTGGCCGCGGCCAGATGAGCGACACTTTTAAAGGGTGGAAACAATCCATTTTCCAAAGAGATCATTTAAAGCACTTAGGCAATTATACACTTAAGATTAGAGTTATTAATTCACCGGAGTCGCGGCTATCACCGCGCACGGTCCCCCCCGCTCTCACCCCGCGGCCGGTCCCGCATGCCGGCACTGCAGCCGGGCCCCGGGGGGACACCGAGCCCCGGAGGGGACACCGAGCCCCGGGGAATGCGGGGCTCCGTGCGATGGGAGGTGAGAAAACTCCTCTTCGCTTTTCCCTTTCCCTCGGCGGTGGTCGTTCCGCCAGAGCAAACAAGCGGGAGGGGAAGAAGAAGGGGCCGGCGGAGGCGAGACCCGTTTGTTTGTAAAGAAGTTTTATTTCCACATTTAAAAAAGGGGGGAGCGGGAGCGGCCGCGGTGCCCCGAGCCCCCCCCCCGCGCCCCCCGCCCGGCCGGGCCGGCCCCGGGATACAGACTGACAAGAATCACTTACACAAATACGCCCTCAGGGTTCACAAATAAATAATTCATATACATTTTGCACCGTATTTACATTCCACCGCTTTTTTTTTTTTAGGGTTTTGTTTTTTGGGATTTTTTTAGAGTTTTAGGGGGGGGTTGTTTTTTGTTTTTTTTTTTTTAGTTTAAGTCACGGACGTCCCAAAGTCTCGCTGGGGCCATCGGCCCGGGCCACCCCATGGTCCTTCCCGGCGGCGGGACCCGGTCAGGGAGCCGGGGAAAGCGGGGAGGGGTCTCCCCGGAGCCGCCCGTGGCAGGTGTGGCTCGGCTCCCCTGCCTGTTCCTGGGGAGGGGGCGGAGAGGCGAAGCCCCCCTGGAGCATCCGACCCCCGCCCGTGCTCCCGGCGCCGTCCCATGCCGAGGTGGGGGACACGCAGCGGCCCCTCTGTCCGTCGGGGGCACAAAGTGGTAAAAAGTGGCGAGTGCCCCGCGGGGTGAGGGGCAGCTCTGTCGGCTCCGTCCTGTCAAGCCTGTCCTTGATTCTTGCATTCTTTATATATTATTTTAAAAAAGGAGGGGGTGGTCTCATTTATAATTTTATATATATATATATATATATATATATATATATTTGGGGATGAGCGGTAGTCTGTCTCTTGCTCGCGGCCCCAGAGATGTGGGGTGGTCCCCTCCAGCCCCCCCGGGCCGGTGGGTGCCGGCGGGGCTGCCCGGGCGGCCGGGGCTCACCGGGGCTGCGCAGCCCGGGGCAGGACGCCGGGCAGCGGGGGCAGGGGCGGCGGGGGCTCGCTGCCGCCCTGCAGTCCGTGGATGAGGATGCGGGGCACCAAGGGTCTCTGTAGGGCGGGGGGCGGCGCGCTGGGTCCGCGGTACAGGTAGAGGGCGGCGCCGGGGTCCAGGTTGGAGACCAAACTCTGCGGGTAGAAGTAGGGCGAGGGGAACATCCTCTGGAGGGCTGAATAGTTGCCAGCCTCAGCCAGCAGCTCCAGGCCCACCGCTGTCTGCCTTTTCCACTTGGTCCTGGGGGGGGCAAGTCGAGAGAAGGCGTCAAGGAGGGGAGGGGTGTTCCCAAAGCCGCTCCCGGGCTCTTTTTACCCTTTGCGTACCCCCTTTCCCCCGGCTCTGCTCTCATCGCGCATCCCCGCTCCCAGGGCCGGCCTCCCCTGTACGGCAGGGATGTGATGGGATTTAATGGGATGGGATGCAGACCCCATTAAAAGGGAGGGAGCTCATCTCCCTGGCGTTCCCGCCGCGGCAGCCCGGCGTAAGCGCCCACGGAGCTTTCCCGGGGGCACCGGAGCCACAGCCCGGCCGGGATCCAACAGCGGGATGTGAATCCCGGCGACAAAAATCGCGACAAACATTTCAGTCCCTTTCTGGGGCAGTAAATCCCAGATTGCCACACGAGCCGAGGATGACACGGGGGGGTCATCCTTGAGCTGAGCGCGGATGCTGCGACCACCGCGATGCTCCGGCCCGAGGCCGCAGTGGCCCCGCTGGCCCGGGGCTCCGGGAGCCTCTCCCCGGGCCGGGGCTGCCAGGACCGGGCAGGGCCGCTCAGGAGGCTGCGGGAGTCCCATGGGGGGACAGGCGTGGGGCAGGGTCCCAGGGAATTCGTTTGCGACATATATATGTATTAGACACATCTCTGTGTCTAAATATACACGTATATATACAGATATATACATATATTTATATGCGTATATATCGGTATAGGCATGTGGGTAAATATATATCTATATATAGATATATATACACGTGTGTGTGTCAAATCCCGTGGAGAAGCTCCAGCCCCAAGATCTCGCCGCCAGCGGGCCGGGCTGGAGAAGGGGCTGGGAGCACAGTTTCGGCTCTGGCGTGTCCTTGCAGGAAGAATTTGGGGAGAGAAGGGGTGATCACAGCGTCCCCCGTCGCCCCTAAACTCCCCCGACTTGGGGGGATCTTTACAGTCGGAGAAGTGGGACTGGAAATGATGAGGGTAAAAACCCGGAGCGAGCGAGGGGACAGGGCGGGGGCTGCAGCCGGGGGTCCCTCATTTGGTGGCCGTGGCAATGGTCGGGGCTGGCGATGTCGCGACAAACCCACTGAAGCCACCACGCGTCGCCAGCCCTTTTACAGATTTGTCGCTGAAGCGCTAAAACCTATTTCCACCAGTAAATTATTCATCATAATAATAATTGTGTAATTACTGTAAAGGGTGTTAATTATTGATGCCCAAAGCAGTAATTGGTATCTATTATTAATGGGCCGATGTGTTATGCTGTTGTGTTTAGCTGCAAGCCCGGTCCTGCCTCCCCGCCTTGCCGGGGCTGGGGGCACGGATTGTCCCCCCCCGCCCCACACCCGCCCTGCCTCGGCGTCGCTTTTCTCCCCTTGACTTTGGGGTAAAAAGCCCCGGGAGAGGCGGGGAGGGGACGGACATCACCCCTGTGCTGGCTCCAGGAGGGATGGGGTGGTTGTGGGGCACAAAAGCCCTGCCTGGTTTGGGGGTGCGCGGCCGGGGAGGGGAGCAGGGCGGGATCCCGGCGCTGTGGGCAGGAGGGAACGGTGCATTTTTTACCTTCTGTTCTGGTACCACGTTTTCACCTGCGTGTCGGTGAGGTTGAGGGAGGCGGCCAGTTCCATCCTGTCCTGCACGCTCAGGTATTTTTGCCTCTCGAAGCTGCGCTCCAGCTGGGCCAGCTGATGGTCGGTGAAGGCGGTGCGGGCTTTGCGCGGCTTTTTCAGCCGCACCGGGGGACTGTCCCGGGAGCTGGAGATCTCTCGGTCTCCTTCTTCTTTCACTGAGCCGAGAGGGAGGAAGAGAGGCCAGGTCAGAGCAGGAAAGGAATTACCTGAAGAAGAGGGGGTGAACCCAGTGCGGGGGCTCGGTCCGAGAGGGGCTCACGGCACATTTGCTCTGCACCCCCGTAAATTTTAACCCCGGCTGCCCGAGGGGGCTCCCCGAGCCGGGCCCGGCTTTTCCCTGTCCCGAGGGCCTGGGATCGGGGCAGGAACGTTGGACTGTGCCGAGAGAACCCTCGGCCCGGCCCCGGAGCCCTCCTGCCCAGATCTCCCCTGACCTCCCTCATTTCTCCCGGGGTAGGACCTTCCTCTGGGCTTATTCCCCCAAACTCAAAACCTTTCACGATGTTTGGATAGTTTTTGTTTCTTTTTCTATCTATCTTTCTCTCTCTCTTTTTTTTTCTTTTTTTTTTTAAACCAAACCAACCAAAAAATGAAAATTACGAGCCCACATTATTTGGAGGGGAATGTTCCGTGCTGGTTCTGCCTCTCCCCTCGGCGGAGAAGCCTCCGTCCTCCCGGGGATGCTGCAACAAACCTCCCTTGTTCAGGGCGCACAACGAAACACTGGGGAAGGCACTTCTCAAACCCCTGCCCGGGCTGATATTTATCTTTAAAAAAGGCCGAATGAAAGGGGTTGGTGGCGGTTCGTTAGCGCGGTCGGTACATACGCGCCGGCGGAGCGAAGTGGGAATTTATGCCGCAAAATGCTGGAGTGTGATGGAAAAATTACGGAGCAGAAACAAAAATAAAAGGGGGAAAATAAATTCCTGCTTGTGCTCGCCTTCTCCATCCTCCTGGAGGAGATTATAGAGCAAATAGGGTCGATTTCTACAAATAGGCGGCGTTTGGATTTTATTTTTTGTTTTTTGTTTTTTTTTTTTTTTAAACAGAGGTTTATGTTAAATTTGCTGGTGGCGGGGGTGAGTAGGGACAAGGCTGGAGCCGAACGCGAGCTGATTTCTCTCTGTAGGAAGACAATAATCCGGTTAATTGAGCCACCGGGGAGTGAAACCCTTCAACCAGAAATGCCGGCTCTGGCCGAGCAGGCAGAACGAGCCGGGGACGATCCTTGGGCGGGGAGATCCGGACCCGGTTCCCGGGAAAGCGGCAGCCCCGACCCGCCGGAACCGGGCAGGGGGATCGGCCCCGCTCTCTCCCGGGAACGGCACGAAAGTTTCTATGGACTTTTTCGCGGAGTAAAGCGGGTCTGGATTCTCGCATCCCGAGGAGGAAAATCCCCCCCGGCCCCTGGGCTGATCCTCGGCTCCTAAAAAGTTCCTGCTCGCCAAAGGGCCGCAGAAACGCCGGCGGCGGCTTCCCTGCTCGGTCCGGATCAGCCGCTGGCTATTCCTAGCTTAAGAAAAAAATTATATATATACATATAAAAATATGTATTACGTGTTTTCCCGGCACTTTGGCCGCTGGGGGTTAGGCCCAGCTTCGCAGCCCCTTTGCGGAGTAAATCCGGGGCGTTTTACCCCAGGAAAGGCTATTTCCAAAGCGGCACAAAAAGGCTCGCTCTGGGAGCGGGGATGTTCACCCGCTCCTCCACCGTTGCGGGGATTTTACCTCATTTAAACTGTGCTTTCCTCCCCATTTAAACTGGTTTTGGGATTTTTTTCCCCTCCGCTTAGATAGTCTTTTTCTCCATTTAAGCAGTGGGGAGGGAGTTGCCCCCGATTTCAGCGGTTTTTCCCTCTCAGTTTAAAGGTTTTTTTCCCCCTTTTTAACAGCATTTACAGCGTGCCCCCGGCTGTCCCAGCGCACGGAGAGCAGAGCAGCCGAGGGGCTCCGGGAAACGACCCCCACCCAAAGCCGAGCCCCCGGCCCGGGCTCGGCCGGCTCAGGGGGATGAGCTGAACCCGCTTCTCTTCTCTCCCCTCGCTTCCTTCTCGTCTCAGCGATTTGGTGCAAGGGGAAAAGAGCTGAAGGAATTCGGGCCGGGTGTAGGAGGCGAGAACAAACGCCAAGGTGGAATCGTGGCTGTTCTCAGCCGGCCCTGCAAAGCGGTGGGGCCGATGCTTCCTCCCGGGGCACTTCCAGCCCCGGCACCGACCCCAGGCTCCATCCTTCGTTTGGTGTCAAAATCGCCCCGTGATGTCCAGAGCCCGCCGCCGCCTTTGGAGCCTCAATTAGGTGAATATTTTTTCCTCCATGAACCAGATTTCAGCTCAGCGGCTCCAGGAGGGCCCAGGATGCATTTGTAGCCGGGACGGGGCTCAGCCTGTCCCCCATTTTTCGTGCCAATCCCCCCAAATTCAGCGGCCCCGCAAGGTGCCATCGCCTCCCTTTTCTCCGCCCAGCTGGATGGATCCCTCTCCTTTCCCTCACAAACAGCCGGCGAACAGTTTTCCCGGGGAAAACTTTTTGCAGAGGTGATGAGGGTGGGATGGGAGAAGTCACCCGGGATAAACTGCTCCGAGGGGCGAGGTCTGACCCCAAATCCCCCCGTGCTGTTCCTGCGCCTCTCCCTGCCCCGACTGCCGCGGGGGGAGGCCGGGCAGGGGCTGCGGGGGCCCGGGAGGCCAAAGCCCCCGGCCCGGGCCGAGCAGCCACCGCATCCAGCCCCACGCCCCGCCGGGGCTGTGGATGAGGCCCGGGGCTCCCTGTCTGCACTGCTCGGTTTTGAACGATTTCCAAAATAATAATACAAATAACAAAAGTCGAATCAAACCCCGCCGACTGGTTTGTTCGTTTCTCACCGGAGCAGGGAAATACCTGGCAAATCCGTGATTATTTTATTTTATTACGGTTTTGTTTTGGTTTGTTTGTTTGGGGTTGGTTTGTTTGTTTGGTTTTTTTTTTTTTTCCCGCAGGCAGAAATCCGTCTCCGGTTCTCCTTTCCTCGCGGGTAGAACGGCACAGGCGGATCTCTGCGGCGGAAGGCGGCCCCGGAGCATCCCCCGGGCGCGTTTAATGAAGCGCCGATTGCCCCAACCCCTTCCACCGGGCCGAGCCCCACCGAGCCCCGAACTCCCAAGTTTCCCCAAGCTGGTGCCGACCCCTCGGTCATTTCGGGGGTGACCGATACCGTGACCTCCCCCTGAGCCGGAGCCGGGTCCGCAGCTAGATCCCAGAGCTCCGGGGACTCCCGGGCCGGCGCAGGCTGCGGGTCCGGGCTGCCCTGACAGCCCAGCGGGGCGAGCCGCTCTTACCTTTGTACTCCGAGTCCGAGGAGGAGCTGCTGGTGTTTTTTTCCATTTTCTCCCTAAAATCCTCGCCGGGCTTGGTGGGGATCCTGCCCGCCGGCTCCTGCCCGCCGTGAGGTCCATTGGTGCTGGAGTAAGGCGCGCAGGCGGCCAGGGGCTTGCAGTCGGCCAGGATGTCTCTGATGAGGAAGGAGGAGGTGACGGTCCGGGACTGCGAGGGAGCCGAGACCTGCCCCGGCTGGAGATGCGCATCCAGGCCCGGCCGCGGCACCGCCGCCTCCAGGCACTCGCGGCCCGGCGAGCGGGGCGAGGGGCACCCGCTGCTGCCCTCCGAGCGGGGGCTCAGCTCCAGCGGGGACCGGCCGTCCCCCACCAGCGGGTCCCCCTTGGGCACGGCCGGGCTGCCGGCTCGGTGGGAGAGGATGGAGTCGATCCCAAACCCGGTGGAGCCCTCCATGGCCCCCGCGAGGTGCCGGCGCTCACACGGGCATTGGCGGGGAGGGCGCGGCGGAAGCGGGTTGGTAACGATAATTAACAATAACAGGAGGGAAAAAAACAAAAAGACGAAAGAAAAAAAAAATAAAAACAAGGTAAAAAGAAAAAAAAAAATAAAAGAGCAAAGTTCAGTCTGGGATCCGGGCAATAATTGCTGCAAGGCTCTCCGAGGCGCCGCGCGTTAGATCCAGGGCTGCTCCGTCTTCAGCATCGCGCCCAGCTGCACTCACAGACAGACAGGAGAGGGGGGGAGAGGGAGGCAGAGTCAAACTTTGGCCGCGAAAGGGGTGGGGTGAGGGGGGACGGACCCCAACCTCACCCGGGGTCCCGGCCACCCCACCCGTGCCCGGAGCCGCGGCGGCGCTGGGCTGGGGGGCAGCCCGGGGGCTCCCAGCCGGAGGTGGGGAGGCAGCGATCGATAGTGAAGGCTTCGCAGCGCCTTAACCACTTAATGATCCAGAAATCAATGGGGAAGGGCGAGGGGAGGGCGGAGGGGGTGGCCAGTCGCCGGGCCGCCGCGGCGCCCCCCTTCCCCACCTGCACCTCGGACAGCACCGGGGGTGGGGGGAAAAACCGGAGTCACTCCGGAGCCCGCAGCACCGCGGACAGCACCGGAGCCGCTCCGGAGCCGGCGGAGCCTTCAGCACCTCGGGCAGCGGCGGGAGCGCCGCGCCCTCCCCGGGGGGGGAACGGGGGAAATGGGGAGAAAAGCTGAACTCGGGCCGCTCCGGCTGGGGGACCCCGGCACCCCCCACCCATCCCGTGTGAACGCGCCCATTGGCCGCCAGGCGTTCTGGGGGATGTCACTCCCCAACAGGCGACACCTTGGAGCTTGATTAACGGGAATTAATTGTCGCCCGGATCCCCGCGCTTTCCGGGCGGTTTCCGCCCTCTTTTGCTGTCATTATGCCGCTGATGGGGCTCTTAATGGGATGATTAGCCGCGGAGGGCGGGGGGGTGTGGGTTGGGTGGGTTATCGAGGGGTTACTGCCTTTCTGCGCGCCTCCCCCCGCAATTAGCTGATCTGCCGGTCCCTCTCGAGCAGGGAAAGTTTTGCTGGGCGTTAAAATTAAATACAAAAAATTTAGGGGAAAAAAAAAACGGAAAAAAAAAGGGGGGGGGAAGAAAAAGCACCGAAACCCTCCCCAAACTCCCAGCACCGAGGCGGCTGCTCTGAGCCCGAGATGAGCCTCGGATCTGCGAATTTCGTTGCACGCTCTGGAAATCGGTTGTGGCCGGGCAGAGAAGTCCACGGGGCCGCCGGGCAGCCGCGTCCCTCGGCCAGCGCTGCCGGAGCGTCGAGGAGCGGGCACCGCTCTGCCCGCTCTGCCAGCGCCCAGCGGCGGTACCTACTGGTGCAACCGGGCAGGGACCGCGCTCAAAGCGGGTTTTTTCTGCCGTCAGTCGCGTTTTAAATAAAATACCGATGGCCTCAGGCAGGACTGCCCCGTCCTGCCCGTTCCTGACGGAGACAACAACTTTCCTCCCTCCCGCCCCGTCGGGGTTTTGCTGTTGTTCTCCCGGGCTGGAGAGGGACAGGCTCACGCAGGATTCCCACCTTCCTCGCAGTCGGACTGGCTGCTGTCTCTTCGAGGGTTTATTTAGGGTTTTTTCCCGTGGATAGACCCTTCGCCGCGGAGATAGGAAAATGTCCACACCCGGGTGCGTGAAGCTGCGTCACTTTAAAGTGATGTCGCTGGTTATTTCTCAAATACTCGATTTCTTCTGTTCCCCACCTTCCCGGCCAGTCAGCTGCATCTTGTCCCTCTTCCAAAGCCGCCCTTGGCCGGCAGCTTGGAGGCGACCAAGGAGGGGAGAGCCCCCCCGGGGCAGCCCGGCTGCCAGCTGTCGGGCAGCGGCGCAGGCAGGGCCCCCAGCACCTCCTGCCCTCGGCCCTGCAGGCTCGGGGCCGGCTGCGATCGGGGCAGCGGAACAAAAGAACTTTAGAGCAGGACAAGCCCAGGAACAGAATCAGCATCAGCCCCGGTCCCAGCCTGCCCCGACCTCGGGGATGCAACGCGCCCGTGCTGGGAGCTGCTCATCCTCCCTGTCCCTGCGTGAGGGGCTCCTGCTGCTGTTCTGCCCGGCCTCCCTCCCAGCACAGAGACCCAGGACTGGGGGCCAGCTCAGTTTCGCAGTGTCCACCATCCACAAGGCCGGGCCAAGTGTCCCTTTGGACTGGAGCAGAGCAATGGATGTGCAGGAACTGGTGAGAAATGGTGCCAAGACTCCGATGGGCTTTGCCAGCTCCTTGCAGGGTTTGTGTTGGTTCTTGGGCTCTGGCAGCCTCCCTGTTCAACCGAGAGACCACATTTGGGTTGGAAATTTGCACTGGGATCAGGACCAGCACTGAGGCTGTATCTGGGACCAGGAACAGGAGTGGAAAAGGCAGCAGGGGTGGGTGTGGGATCAGAATCAGGATTTGGATCATCCATGCAGGGATAGGTTTGGGCTGGTGAGTCTTACTCTTGAATAAAACACCTCGCTTGAAATAACCACAAGGAAGCCCCCAGATTAGACCACCTTCCCGATGATGTGCAAGATTTTGGGGGGTATTTGTGTGTGGGGTACAATCCTCATCCCAGAGCAGGTTCTGTATTGTGCCATGCCCAGCCAAGGCCCTGGGGACAGATATGTCACTCCTAGGCCATAGCTGGGGCTCTCAGTAGCTACAGATGGACTGATACTTAAGTTCTAATGACACTAAAACTATTATTACAATTATTACTATTATTACTATTAATGCTGTTGTTTTATTAAGTTGTTTCAGACTAGACTCCCCAAGGCAGAAATGTGCCCCATTCTGCCCATATGTGGTGTCCCTCCTACATCATCAGACCTTGACAAGTGGGGTTCCAATGATTTGTCTGTGGCTCCCAGCACAGACAGGAAATCCTGTGCACAGACCACTGAGCAGTGCACACTCCTTCGCTCTGTGTGCCTGCCCTTAATCCCCGATTTCCAGACTGTTCCAGTTCACAAATACATCAGTCAGGAGGAGATCGCTGATGCCAACTGGATTCACAGTCACCTCACAAGCCTCAATCACAATCCAGGGGTGGATTTAGGACTGTGACAGCTTTGGGAGTTGCTGTTCATCCCTCCCCGCTGGGTGCTGCTGATGGGCAGGGCTGGGCTCTGCTGGTTCCTGTCACCAGTGCAGGTTTGGCCCTGGGGCCAAGGGACAGGGCTGGCCCAGCTGTTCCCAGAGGCTTTGGGCGCGGGAGCCCTTCCACAGCTGGGCCAGGGGCTGCTGAGCTGGGACAGTGACTGAGCAAGAGTTAATCCAGAAATATCAGCTGGCGATGCACAGCCCGGTGTCCTGGAAGGGTCTGGCTGGGGGAGGAATCCCCCGAGGTTCTGCTGCACTGAATCTCCTCCCGAAAGCCCGCAGGGTGCTCGGGAGGGCCGTGCCCAGCGGGGGATGCTCGGGCTCCGCTGGGATGCTCCGGTAACAGAACGAACGCATCCGCCAGGAGAGGGAGGACGGCTCGGGGTGGGGGCAGAAAGAGGGGGGACAGCCAGCCGGGGAGGAGGCGGGGAAGCCGCAGCAGCAGCGGTAGAAGCCCGCTCGTTACCGGTGGGTGTCACTGCAGGACAAGGAGCGGGGGCGGCGGGGGGCCGGGACCCCGCACGGGGCTCCGCTGGCACTTGGGGACACGCTGGCTCACGGCTCGGACGGGTCAGGGTCGGGCCGGGCTGTGATGGGTGCAGGGATGCCCCGCGCTGCCCCTCCGAGCTGCGACACCGGGGATATTTGGGGCACGACCTTGCCCAGCATTTCGGGGGCAGTGGGGCAGCAGATCTGTCGGCTCTGAGCTGCACTGAGAGGTGTCTCCTGAACGCACTTCATTTATTTGTCTGATGATTTTCTGGTTTCTGGTGTCTCTGTTGGTTTGCTGTCCCAACCAGCAGCTCTACAGGGGTTTGGTTCACAGCGTTCTGTGCCAGCCCTTCCCAGCCAGGCAGGATTCTCTGGAGGTGCTTCCTAACCTGAGCACACCCCGGGGACCTCAGTGGCTGCTGCAGGAGGACACGGACGCTGTGGCCGGGCTGAGAGCTGGCTGTGGCTCCCAGCAGGCAGAAGGACGAACCTCGTGCCTGGGTATCTCACACTCTCATAAAACAGTGTCATTTTTAGCAAGACAAGTCATTTAAGGCCCAGCTTCCTCCCTCCCTCCCTGGGGAGGTGGGAAAGGTCTTTGGTTATAATCCACCTCTGCCAGCTTGGCAAGCCCTGCTGTTATCCTTCTCATTATTTTAGATGGGTTTTATTTAGAGGCCTGTACTAAAAAGAGGTAACCACATACCAGGGTTTTCCCTGTGTGGAGCAGGTGATTTTGTTCCTCCCTCAGCTCAGGTGTGGGCAGGGTGGAGTTTGTTACAGCTCTTTCCTTATAAAAGGGTAGGCTGAGGTACAAGCTGCCCTAAGGAGGAAATGTGGGGAATGCTGGAGTAGCTACTGGAGAACCTTCATTGTCCTGAGGGGTAAGAAAAACTGTCCTTGCAGTTTATGCCATTGTTTCATTTTCAGCGTTGCAGTGTGATGTTATAAAGAACTCTCCCCTTTGAGGTTTGGGGTCAAAAGTTTGGCTGGGAATCCGAGGGGCAATGAGCCCTGAGCTCAGCATGGGCTCTTCATGTCCTTTGGCTCCTGGTGGCTTTATGTAGGGGTGAGCTAATCCCAGTGCCAAGGTGTGGAGGAAAAGTTGTGCTGGCACATCCACCTGAGCTCAGGATGCAGTTGGGGCTGCCCAGCACAGCAGGTGTCACCTCCCAGAGCTCTGGGGTGCACACACCTGAGCTCTCCAAATACCAATGGGAGGGTGAACATGAAAACTGGGAGATAATTTGGCTTAAAAAGTTGATAAACTCTGAGCTGTAATGGTAGATGTGAGACATGCAGACTACATAAGAGTTATTAATTATTCCTTTAGTAATAATGGAGATGCATGGTTTAAATAATGGCACTTTTAACCAAGTGAAATGGGCTGTTGGGACAAGATGGATTCCAAATGTGTTGGTTCCTGACTGAACTTGTGGGTTTGGGTGCTGTGATGTTGAGTTGGTGTTGTTAGGGTTTGAGTTTGTTCAGTGAGTGATGAAGAGGCTCAGCCCTGAGGGGCTCCAGGCCCCAGCAGCTTCTGGAGGGTGAGAGTGGACCTGGCTGGAGCCACATTGAAGTAGAGGCATTGCCTGTGGTGAGGCCCCAGTTTGGCAGAGCACTCAAAGCAGGTGTTTGAGTTCCTTCACACAGGCAATGGCTTTGGTGAATCAAGCACTCATGGGAAGCTTTTTTGGCAAAGAAACGAGGACTGATGAGATATTACAGATTTGATATCAGCTAGGATA